CGAGTGTGTGTCTGAACAAATGTATGTATATATTCAAAAAGTGTCCAAGGAGTCTTGGACATGGACACGGGAAGTCTCGGACACATATACATGAGCCTATATGAAGTGTCTAGGTAACTGAGGTTGCAACCAAATGACAATTAACTTTTCTTACAATAATATTGCCATTTTCATAGGTTAACCTACAATTTTGTTAATTTTTCTTCGACTTGATGAAAAATAAATATAATACTTCAAAAGTAGTTATTTTATTCTTTTTTTTTCATGGGTTATAACTCATGAATTTGGCCATTTACTTTGTTTCGTCCATTAAGCATTTAGTTGTGGGAATTTCAATATTTGCAGTTCATGGGCCATAACCTATAATTTTGGCAATTTTTGTTCTTTTCCTCCCAATGCCAAGTAATTATAGGTCCTATAAAATTCGCGATTTTCATATGCTATAACCCACGATTTTAGTCTATTTTCGTTTATTTCGAATTAAATTTTGCTAGATTGGTGTGGGCAAGTGCAAATATAGCTCATTTGTTACCTTGAATGGATGGAAATAGGCTATTGGATACAATATATGGGGGGAATTGATGGAGAAACATAAGTTTGGTTTTATTTGTGTGGTTTGCTGGCTATTATGAAAAAATGAAATGAAATCAAACATCGAGGGAGGGGAAGAGAGGCAATTGAATTTGTTTCTAGAGCAAAAGATTACCAAAATATGTTTCTTGAAATTCAAGAAACTAGTTCATTGTGTAGTTTAACCTCAATCCCAAGGGGACATATTCCTCTTAGCTTAAGCAATCCGAAAGTTAATATGTATGGTGTAGTGTTTGTGGATCAGAGAGCAATTGGTGTGGGGCTAACCACGAGACGCGGAGGGCACTTGTTGATGTTCGTGAGCACACAGTCGATGGGGTTACGGTTCTGGTCTCCGCGTTGGCGGTGAAAAGGGGGAGGATGAGAGATGGGGTCGACTCCTCCTCCGACTTTATGCCCGATCCTTAGACTGGAATTCTTGATCCTTCTGCACAAACAAGAAGAAACCCGTAGGTGGGCGGGGCTCATTTCCCCCGTGGTACCTCCGACGGTCAGCTGGTGATCTTGAGTGGGGTTTGAGGGAGAGTCCCTGGGCCATTGAGGCCCTTTTTAACAAAGATAAATTCAGAGCTTTTATGAAGAAATAGCAGAAAAGAATTCCCCTTCTTTTACCTTCTTTCCCTCCTTTTATAGCCCATTGCCTCTGAGAGTTTGACTCTTGGCTTTGACTATGCACATGAGACGGTTGAGGGGTGATCAGACAGGCTGCTGAGTCATCCTTCTTCTTTCAAATGTCGGCTGGCGATTGGAAGGGAAGTCATTCAAGTACTGGAGAGAAATATCTTCTCATTACCCTAGATTTGTCAGATGATGCAGGGCGGAGAATAGGCCAACTACCGGGTCGTCCTTCCCCTTTCAGATGACGGTTGACGATTGGAGGGGAAGCCATTCGAGCCCAGGAGAGCATCATGGCGATCTATGGGAAGTGACTTGTGAGGAGAATAAGCGGCTTATGCACGGATTTTGTCAGAGTGGAGATCTCGATGGGACTGATCAATGTTGTTGTGTTGATTGACATCTGAAATGAGCTTGGTCGGATCTTATCCCTTTAGTCGAGGCGGGTTGATCTACGAGTCATCATTATAATTTGCCAATCCGATAGTCGAGTGAGCTTTGGGTCGAGTGTATGATCGGGATGTCTGTTCGAGGAGTCGTCTTAATTACAAGGGACCGACTGTTCCCGCACTTCGAGTCGGTCATGATGACCCTTGGTCAAAAGATGGCTCGTCTGCTCGGTTGGTCGATAAACTTGACCTTGACTGGGTTTTTGGGCCTTTAGGTTGGTTTGGACCACGCCCTCTTTAAGCCTACGGAGACAATCTTTCGACATCTTCATCTTGAGATGGTAAATTACCATAACAGCACTTTTTATGCAAGGTTGTGAAAGATAGCTTGAGTGCATGGGAAAGCTAAGTTACACAGAGTTTAAGGCTATGATGGAAGTTGCACAATTCGTGTACAACATGGGATTTAGAATGATTGAATTTGAAGGTCATGCTGAGTGAGTCATTAGAGCTATTCGGGGGGATTCTATGATACTATTGCTTTTTGGTCACATGATCGAGGACATGCGAAGGTTGTGTATCTTATTAGATTGCTAGAATGTCTGAGTTGTTTGTCGTACTGGAAATAATGCTGCACAATCCTTGGCACAGAAGGCTATTGATCTCGAGAACTTCCAAGTCTAGATTGAAGACCCTTATGATTTTTTGCATAATGTTGTTACGGAAGGTAGGAAACGGAATTAGGAGCGGATGTCTTAGTTGTGTTTGTTGTTACTGTATTTTAAATTATTTGGATGAAGTTGTCTTTTAACCATTAAAAAAGTCATGAATTTCATGGGCTTAAACCCACTATTTTTGTCAATTATTTTTCTTTGACCCAATAGAAAATAAAAATTAGTGCTTCAAAAATCATGAATTTTATGGGCTATAGTCCATTATTTTTTATTTTGACCATTAAGCAATTAGTTGTGCATATTGCAATATTTACGATTTTCATGGGCATAACCCCATGGTTTTTATTAATTTTTATTCGTTTCGAGTCAATGACAAACATTTTTTTGTTCAAAAATTGCGATTTTCATGCGCTATAATCCTCGATTCTTTTATTACCATTCATTGGACCTAATGATAACTAATTATAACTATTTCAAAATTTGTGTTTTTGTAGGTTATAACACAAGATTTGACAATTTTTTTTGTTTCGCCTTAATGATAAGTAATTACATATTTTAAAATTCATTATTTTCATGGGCTATAACCAATGATTTCAGTCTATTTTTGTTAGTTTCTACTCATGACAATTAAATTTTCTTTCATAAAAAAATATGATATTTTTGGAATTTAATCCACAATTTTTTTCAATTTTCATTGTATGAACCAATGAAAAATAAATATGCGTACTTCAAATTTTATTATTTTAATGGGATAATGTACATGGTTTTGTTCCATTTTGTTCATTAAGAACATGTAGCAATTAACCGCGCAAACTTCAGTATTCACGATTTTTATGGGCTATACTCTTAAGATTTTGGTCTGTTTCATTTATTCGAGCTAATGGCAATATATTATTACTTAAAAATGCACAGATTTTAATGGGTTATAACTCATGACTTTAGCAATTTTGTTTTCGTCATAATGGCTAGTAATCATTTGCACTTCAAAATTCGCAGTTATTGTGGGCTATAACTCACGATTTGAGTCCATTTTCTTTAATATTAACCTGGTGGCAATTAATTCTTTTACAATTAAAATTTGTGATTTTCATGGGCTTTAGCCACGATTTTTTCCATGATCTTTGATTTGATATAATGGCAATTAATGAAGACTACTTCAAATTTTTGTGATTTATAAAACTTACGATTATTGCAGTTGTTGTTTGTTAAATCTTAATGGCAAGTAATTTTATGCGATTTAAAATTTGTGATTTTCATGAGCTATAACCCACGATTTTAGTCTATTTTCGTTATTTTCTAGCCAATGACAATTTTTTTTTTTAAAAGGCATCATTCTCATTGCTTTAACCCAGATTTTTTGTCAATTTTTTTCTTTGACCAGATGGAAAATAAATATGCATACTTTAAAAGTCGTTATTTGTATGGCATATAGTCCATGATTTTTTTTCTTTTTTGTTTATTTATGACCATTTAGCAATTAATTGTACGGACTTCAATATTAGTGATTTTCATGGGCTAGCCCGTGATTTTTGTCCATTATCATTCATTTGACCCAATGACGATTAATTATGACTACGAAATTTGCAATTTTGGTGAGATATAATGCATGATTTTTTTTCAATTTCTATTCTTTTCGTCGTAATGGCGAGTAATTTTACATGGCTCAAAACTCGTAGTTTTCATGATAACCCATGACTTTAGCTTGTCTTTGTTAAATTTTTACATAAAAAATTGCGATTTTCATGGGTCATAAACCACAATTTTGTCAATTTCGGTTTTCGATCCAATGGTAGAGTGTTGAGCCAATGAATTTTCCTTCTTCCACGGCGAGATCTCCTTCCGTATTCGCATGGCCTCAAGGCCAGGATCCCCGCACGTGTGAGATTGGAGTTTTCATGCTGTTTGCAATCCCGTCATAGCAAATATGATAAAAACCAATTGCTCCAGCTTTTGGTTCTTATGACCAAGAGACTGGAGCAATTAATTTTGCTCCAAATAGTGGTATGTTATGACCAAAGACTGGAGCAATAGGCTTCTCTCCCCCTTACCCTGATGCCACCATTTGGAGATAGAAGAGCTGGAGAGTTGTAGGGTGATAGACTAGAAATTCTTACGACCGAACGTTTAAGCTAGTTAGGACCAGCCATGTACACTAATCCTTCCATTTTACGTCAACTTTATGTGAATGCATCTAACTTAGCGGTTCTGTTTGCATTACATGACTCAGACATGGATGGAGTTACCTAATATGAAAAATATCATGGATAATTGTCAGAGGCTCATGTGCAGTGATTTCATTTGCTTAAACTGCATAACTGATAAGGCTTTATCTGCCAACTGGGTTAACAGGCTTTGTTGCAGATCTTTCTTGTCCAAACTTCTCTTGTCCAGGAAATTGGCAACAACTCAGAGATTCAATGTGAAGTTGACAGCTAGTAGGATCTTGTAAGATTTTATGTGGCACCTTCTTCATGTATACCAAATGGCCAGCCAAGTTTCTGTTGGGAAATGCTTAGATGACGTCAATGAAGACGATTTTTCCATTATTCTTTCCCCTTAACTCTCTGATGGATTAAATGTTTACACCTTCATATATAATGTCAGTAATCAACACTGGTAGATTCTCATAACATATCACACGTCATTGAATAATTCCTCCAATTAAAGTGGATAGAGGTTTTTTGGTGACTTTACTTGCAATCACTTTATATAGTGTTGATTCTTTTTGCAGTGTACTAAAGAGAAATCACAAAGATCTCAACCCTGCTGTTTTGGCTGTTGATGTGCCATCTCCAATGAAGGCAGGTTGTCTATTTTCCTTTCCTTTTTTTCTGGTCCTTTGAGTAATTTGTGCAAGGTTAAACTGTGAAGCTTGTTTTCCTAGTATTTTGAGAACTAGTTTTCCTAATTCATCCAATTTTATAGACTAATTATGTTTATTTAAGTTCTGATAGGCATTCTGTCAAAAAAATAAATAAATAAATATTTTGTATGAATTTTTTATATGCCTTTTCTTTTTTCTTTTTTGAACTTTCCAGATTATAAGAATTTAACCGAGTAACCGAACTGCAAAGTAAACACCACTACAGTTGAGCATACACCATACTGGAGAAGTTGCTGCTGAAGCTTTCTATCACCTCTCAACTCCACATGATTAATTAATTGGTTTGTTTCAGGGGATCATCGGACTCTAGTTTAGAATTTTTAGTTTAATAGCTATAATGACTGGAAGGAACATAAAAGATTTTAGTTTGAAATTTACTTTATTTAGTCCCCGATTCCTCTGTAGAAATAAATTTACTATAGCGTTAGTTATTTGGTAAAGGATTGCTTCTCTAATCATGTTATATTGTGTGGGCTCTGGTGTACTTAAACTCATGTTATCTTGCTTTTGTGGTATCAGGTGATGGCTATGCTTATTGGGATGCCAGGGTATCCCAAGAGGATATGGAGGACATGTGGCGAAATCCTGATGTTGTAAAAGAGTGGTCAAAATCTGGTGAAATACGTGGAAGAGTGCGTTTTTCACAGGATGAAGAGAAGAGTCCATATCTTTCTCGAGTTGAGGTGAAGGTAAGGGAAATTAAATTCATGTAGTTGTGGTGTCATTTTTTATGTTGCATTTGGATCTTGTTGACAACCATGTCCTCTCAACTTTGCTTCGCTATGTGTACATGTGGTTCAATTTGCTCTCTGGCTCTTTTTTGTTTCTTGGAGATGAATGAGATTTCTTACACCAAATTTATACGTGTAAACATCTCTAAAAGATGACTGTAGCTGTAATGAGAATGCTGAGAGAAATAATTGACACCATGAGAAATAGGGTCAGAGTTGATAAATTCAATGAGGATTGCTTAGCCCAGTTTGGACATGTCCATCAGAAACATAAATGGGGCCAATTCAGAAGTGATGGGATTGTGATTGGTGGAGCAACAGAGGACTAGATCTGCAAATTATTTAGTAAAAATGGCATTTGCTGCTTGCTATTTAACAGAGATAATGACTCTTATCAGAGATGAATTGAAAAAAAAAAAAAGAATTCATCAAACCAACCCCAGAGATTTGGGATAAAGAATGTGTCCCTCGGTGTATGTTGAAAGCTTCTATTGTGGTCTGTCATCTCTGTTGTCCAATGAATATAGGTCAATTGTTAACAGCTTATATGCATTTTTTTTCTGACAATATATTCCTTGAAATAATAGCAGTTTTATCCTTACATGTTCTTTTTTTGTAGGCATTGGCTCAAATCATCATTCAACGATACTTCAGTACAAGGGAAATACAAGCTGTGAGTGTCCTCTTCTATCATGCGTAGAATGATTGGGAACATAACGATATATACGCATGATATTTTTTTCCCCTGGAAGCAGTGAATTTTTTTCTTTCATTTGCTTCTGTCAGTGGTGTAATGGGTCTTTCCTTTTCTTTCCACACAGGCAGCCTTAGCTGCCCTTGCTGAGGTATGTAGCATGAGATTTGTGAATGGAGTGCGTACTCGAACTGGATTAATGGGAATTGACTACCCAACTGCATCATGGCTATATAGGTCAGTCCATTATGCGTTTGAGTGCTGCAAGGTAGACCCAAATATGGATGTGCATTTTCCCAATTCTCGAGTCCTAATTTCTCCATTACATTTTAATTTCTTTTTCTCCTTTTACTTTCTCATTATGTCTCTGCGTTATGCTTGTACGAAGATTTTGACAGATAATGCGTTTTTCCTTCCTATAGAGAAATTGGACATAAGGAGTACAAAGTGAGTTCTGTGGATGATGTCTACAATCCATTTGTTTCCATGTACTTTGGTGCATCCTACTTTGACTGGCTGTCAGAATACAAAGGAAGGTGAGCCATATCACTTCTTTGACCTCAAGACCAGACTACAAATTTCTTGTGTCTTTGGCTCATTTGCCACGGTGAGATTATGGTTTAATGGTCATGTGCTTGTATGAGATGAAAGGGTATTCTTCTTATCATGTGTGGAATTTTCAACTCTTCGAGCATGGAATAAGGATCCTATCGGAACCGCATCATAGGAATGTGGTGGTTCGTATTATAGATGGAAGAGCTAAAATTCCAAAGCCAACCCCCCAACCACCATTAATGTTATGGATCACCAGTTCTATGCAGATGTTCTGATGGAATCTGCACCCTCGAGCATGTTATCATTTTATTCCTGAAAAAAAGAAGAAGGAAAACACCACAAAAAAGTCAATATTATTTGCAAAAGAAGCATGAGGAACACTACCAACTAACTTTAATGTAATCCTAATGAAACAGTTATAAGAGTCGTTATTTAATTCTTCACATTGAAAATTCATAGGTTTATTGAGAGTGTATTGGATCGATAATATTTTACTGTCTGTTACATTATTAACAATCATTTTACTTCTGCTTGTGTGGCAATTTGTTGAAAGCAGGCAAAGAAACTATGAGTTCATTGTCCAGGCTTATTTAGGAGGGCCAGCAAATGTGAATTTCCAGGAGACAGGCCCTCTTTGGAAAAAGTTTCAGGAATCTTTGAGTCACTATGTAGTCCCGACAAGGTAAGCAGTCCCAAAAACTTTGTTATTTAGGTACATCATCATATTGTTAGTGAAAAATTCTGTTGGATTTAATCTAATAAATCTATTTGTGGGCACATATGATTAATCAATGTGTATTGTTATCTTTCAGGATAACCCACTAAAGTGATCAATTAAGTTGGGTTAATTTGGTATTTAAATAAGTCATGGGGTTATATGTGCAGATACCAGGTTGTAATTGTGATTTATTGAGGGGCTAAATTATAAAAGTACAACATCTATAAATAAGGGGTTATGGTCCCTAACCTAGGGTTACATTCTCTAATTCTCTACACCCCCATCTAGCTAGAGAAATTCGGATTTAGAGAAACCCTAAGGTTAGAAGATCAAAACCCATCTCAAGATCAAGCAATGGATTCAGGTATAAGCTTCCGCTCTTTTAGATTATTGTTAATCTCTTTGAATTAATCATGGCTATATGGTTTTAGATCTCAAGTTTTGATTTAGATCTAACAAGTGGTATCAGAGGGTTTTAGATCTCAAGTTTTGATTTAGATCTAACAAGTGGTATCAGAGCCACCTTGATTGATTCTTAGGGATTTAAGTTTTATTGGGTTTTTTGATCTTAAATCTCTGGTTAAAGATTCAATTTTTTTTTGTGTTCGGATGAACAGTAAAATTTTTTGGTTCGGATGAACAGTAAAAAATTTTGTTCGGATGAACAGTAACTTTTTGGATTTTTTTGGATTTTTCTTTGATTTTTTTTCTTCAACTTTTTCCAATTCTGGATCTGTTTTGAAAATAAAAATTAAAGATTTTTGGGTTTGTCGGCGGCGGTTTCAATTTGAAACCCTAAGGGTTCGTGCGTGCGTGAAACGTGGCGAACATTAAGGAGGTGTTCAGACGAACCTCGCGTTCGTACTTCAGACGAACCTCGCGTTCGTACTTCAGACGAACCTCGCGTTCGTACTTCAGACGAACCTCGCGTTCGTACTTCAGACGAACCTCGCGTTCGTACTTCAGACGAACCTCGCGTTCGTACTTCAGACGAACCTCGCGTTCGTGCTTCAGTCGAACCTCGCGTTCGAACTTCAGACGAACCTCGCGTTCGTACTTCAGACGAACTTCGCGTTCGAACTTCAGACGAACCTCGTGTTCATTTTTAAACGAACCTCGCGTTCGTTCCCAAGTTGAACCTCGCGTTCTTTTATCAAACGAACCTCGCGTTCGTTCATTTTCAGACGAACCTCGCGTTCGTGCTTAAGTGAGTCTCGTACTCAATACAGTCGAACCTCGCGTTCGAAGTTAAGGGAACTTCGTGTTCATTATGGTTAAGCCTCGGCTTTTCATGGGTCCACTTTGGTATACTTAATTTAATCAATTAAGTTATGGCTAAATACCCATATTGGTGTTTTAATTCAACCCCATTTACCAACAATGTATTTTAGTTAGGAAATTCGGCGATAAGACATTTTAATTGAATAAAATTACCATTTAGATCCTTTTTCTCGTCGGCGGCCACTTTTCCGGCGAGAACTCATCACGTGCGTTGCACGTGGGGGCTTAATCTGTGTTTAAGATGTGTTTTTGGCTCTGTTTTCTGAATTAACTCTCTAAAAACCAATTCTCCCCCCCCCCCCCCGCCTCTCTCTCTCTCGTTATCTCCTTCCCGAACCCACGTCCACCGCCGCCTCAACCCACTCTCCTCTCTCTCCATCATCTTTATCCTCCCCCTCCTCGCATCCTCCCCGCCCTCCATCATCTTTATCCTCCCCTTCCTCACATCCTCCTCCCTGTCCACCATGTTCTTCCTGTATCTCCTCCTCTCCTCCTCCTCTCCCCCTCCCCGTCCTGCTCCAGCCGCGACCAAACCTCGAGCCCGTTCTCCTTGCTCACAAACACCTGCTTCTTGTAGCAATGCACCACGCTCCCCCCTCCCCCTCCGTCGGTTACCTCAAACGAACCTCGCGTTCGTTCAATTTTAACCGAGCTTCGCGCTCAACGAACCTCGCGTTCGTTCTAAGGTGAACCTCGCGTTCAACTCAGGTGAGCGTCAAGCTCAATTTTAACGAACCTCGCGTTCGTTCTAAGGTGAACCTCGCGTTCAACTCAGGTGAGCGTCAAGCTCAATTTTGACGAACCTCGCGTTCGTGCTTCAGTCGAGCCTCGCGTTCGAACTTCAGACGAACCTCGCGTTCGTACTTCAGACGAACCTCGCGTTCGTACTTCAGTCGAACCTCGCGTTCATTTTTTAAACGAACCTCGCGTTCGTTCCCAAGTTGAACCTCGCGTTCTTTTATCAAACGAACCTCGCGTTCGTTCATTTTCAGACGAACCTCGCGTTCGTGCTTAAGTGAGTCTCGTACTCAATACAGTCGAACCTCGCGTTCGAAGTTAAGGGAACTTCGTGTTCATTATGGTTAAGCCTCGGCTTTTCATGGGTCCACTTTGGTATACTTAATTTATTCAATTAAGTTATGGGCCCTAATTAAGCTGTGAGACCCCAATTAAGTTTTTGGAAATTCAGTTGATTTAAATTTTTTAATTTAAATCTAATTCGGTTTTTAATCAATTATTTAATTCAAATATTATGACACTAAGGTATTAAGGTTGTCTCTCACTCCAATTGATTAATTGAAACAAGAAGTTGCCAAAGTAACCTCTCTTGTGTAGATTGTTCATGAGGAATGTGAGATGTTTGTGTGTATGCTTTCGTGTAAATATTTAATCGGCCCAAAGGAAGGTTAATATTTATTTAGACTGTATACACATCTGCGATGATAAGCGTGTGACAATTATAAGGTTTACATGTGAATAATGAATCGATCCAAAGATAGTTTCATTATTTGACATGAGTTATTGTCAATGTTTGATCATTGCAACAAGGTATCACTTACAAGTTAATATTACTGTCCAAAGACTTGATATTAATGTTGTGCTGGTATCTTGGATGGGGATTGTCATTATTTGAATTTTATTGATTATGGTTATTGATGTGAGCATTCTTTTGTTTTATTTCAGCTAATACATCTGCTGCAACAATTTCTGCTAACATCAACTCAATTCCCATACTAAATGGGACAAACTTCAAGGTTTGGAAAGAGAACATATTAATTGTTCTTGGCTGCATGGATCTTGACTATGCATTAAGAACTGAACAACCCCAACCTCTCAATGCGGATAGCACTCCTGATGCAAAGAAGGAGCATGAGAAGTGGGAGCATTCAAATCGCATGAGTCTTATGATCATTAAGCGCGGCGTTCCGGAAGCCTTCAGGGGCATAGAATCCGAAGGGATTACTAAGGCTAAAGATTTCCTTGCCGAAATTGAGAAGCGTTTTGCGAAAAACGATAAGGTAGAAACAAGCACGCTTTTAGCTCGCTTGATTTCAATGAAGTATAAGGGCAAAGGAAATATCAGGGAGTACATTATGGAAATGTCTCATATTGCTTCAAAGCTTAAGGCACTTAAACTCGATCTTTGTGACGAGTTATTAGTGCATCTGGTTTTGTTGTCTCTTCCTGCACAGTTTAACCAATTTAAGGTCAGTTATAACTGTCAAAAGGAGAAATGGACTCTAAATGAGCTCATTTCATACTGTGTGCAAGAAGAAGACAGGTTGAAGCAAGATAAGACAGAAAGTGCTCATTTGGCCTATGCCTCTAAGGATAAGGGCAAGAAAAGGAAGAATGATAAGGAAGCTGCTAAGGGTCCAGTTGAGAAGAAACAACATAAGGATAATCAGGGTTGTTTCTTCTGTAAGAAGCCTGGACATGTAAAGAAGGACTGTACAAAATATCACGCCTGGCGTGATAATAAGGGTACGTTCCTTGCTTTGGTCTGTTCTGAGGTTAATTTAGCTTCAGTACCTAGAAACACTTGGTGGTTAGACTCTGGTGCTACTACTCACATAAGTGTTTCTATGCAGGGTTGCATGAGCTACCGAAAGCCAAGTGATGTTGAAAGACACATCTTTGTGGGCGACGGACAATCGGTAGATGTGGAAGCAATTGGGCACTTTAGGTTGTTGTTAGGAACTGGTTATTATTTAGATTTAAAAGATACTTTTGTAGTACCGTCTTTTAGACGGAATTTGGTTTCTGTTTCTGTATTGGACAAATCAGGTTATTCTTGTTCATTTGGAAACAGTCAATTCAGTTTATCTTTTAATTCAAATGTTGTGGGAACCGGTTACTTGAGTATTTATGACAACTTATATTTGCTTGATATAATTACTTCTTACAATGAATCCTTGCATGTGGAATCACATGGTACTAAGCGTAAATTAAATAAGGAAAATTCGGCGACATTATGGCATAAGCGCTTAGGTCATATCTCAAAAGGTAGAATTGAGCGTCTTGTGTCTGATGGCATTTTGGATTCCCTTGATTTTTCGGACTTCAACGTATGTGTTGAATGTATCAAGGGAAAACAGACCAAAGTGAAAAGATTAGGTGCCAACAGATCTTCGGATGTCTTAGAATTGATACATACGGATATTTGTGGGCCATTCCCTACGGAATCCTGGAATGGTCAACAATATTTTATATCATTCATAGACGATTACTCACGTTATGGGCACCTATATCTTATTCATGAAAAATCTGAGTCACTGGACATGTTCAAAGCCTATAAAGCTAAAGTTGAGAATCAACTTAACAGAAGAATTAAAACCGTCAGATCTGATCGTGGTGGTGAGTACTACGGTAGATATGATGGTTCAGGTGAACAACGTCCAGGACCATTTGCTAGATACCTAGAGGAATGCGGTATCGTCCCACAGTACACTATGCCGGGTTCACCTAGCATGAATGGTGTAGCTGAAAGACGAAACAGGACTCTTAAGGATATGGTAAGAAGTATGATTGCTCATTCTTCTTTACCAGAGTCACTCTGGGGAGAAGCACTTAAGACAGCAGCTTACATTCTGAATAGAGTACCAAGTAAAGCAGTTGCTAAAACACCTTATGAGCTTTGGACTGGTCGAAAGCCCAGTTTAAAGCATTTACATATTTGGGGATGTCCAGCTGAGGCAAGGCCTTATAGGCCAAATGAAAAGAAATTGGACTCCAAAACAGTTAGCAGCTACTTTATTGGGTACCCTGATCGCTCTAGGGGCTATAAGTTTTATGATCCCACTATAAGGAATATTTTTGAGACGGGAACAGCAACATTCTTTGAGGATGTTGAGTTTGGGGGGAGAAATAAGGTTAGAGACATTAGTTTTGAGGAGGAATTGGCTTCAGATCCAATCCATACAGTTACTTTTGACAATATTCAGGTTCCTATACCTGTTGTTGCTCAAGAAGTAAATCCGGAACCTCAAGATGATAATGTTGAACAACTCCCTGTTCCAGAAGAACAAACTCAACAACCTCAAGAACCAGTGCCATTAAGGAGATCCACGAGAGAAAGGAGAAATGCTATTCCGGATGATTATATTGTATTTCTCCAAGAACATGAGGAAAGTAGTGGAATGTTAGAAGATGATCCAATCAACTTCTCTCAGGCCATGAAAAGTTCTAACTCTCAACAGTGGATTGATGCCATGAATGAAGAGTATAAGTCTATGCAAGACAATAAGGTTTGGGAACTTGTCCCATTGCCAGAAGGTGCAAAACCAATTGGTTGTAAATGGATTTTTAAAACCAAGCGGGATGCAAACGGTAATGTGGAGAGGTATAAGGCGCGTCTTGTGGCTAAAGGCTATACTCAAAAGGAAGGCATTGATTATACAGAGACTTTCTCTCCGGTTTCATCGAAAGACTCTTTCAGAATAATCATGGCACTTGTTGCTCATTATGATCTTGAGTTACATCAGATGGATGTTAAGACTGCATTTCTCAATGGAGACATTGATGAGATGATCTATATGGTGCAACCAGAAAACTTTGTGTCAGGAGACCCAAAGAATATGGTTTGCAAATTAAGGAAATCCATATTTTGAGATGAACATTGTTGATGACTGTGTATATCATAAGTTCAGTGGGAGTAAGTATATTTTTCTGATTCTGTATGTCGATTACATCTTGCTTGCCACTAATGATATAGGCATGTTGCACGAAACCAAGAGATTTCTATCAAAGAATTTTGAGATGAAAGATCTTGGGGACGCCTCTTTTATATTAGGGATCCAGATACATCGAGATCGCTCTCGGGGTATTCTTGGATTATCACAAAAGAGCTATATCGATAAGGTACTTAAAAGGTTTGGCATGCAAGATTGCAGACCAGGTGACACCCCTGTTGCTAAAGGAGACAAGTTTAGTCTCAATCAGTGCCCTAAAGGTAACCTTGAAATTCAGGAAATGCAGAAGATTCCTTATGCTTCGGCTGTAGGAAGTCTAATGTATGCTCAGGTATGTACGCGTCCGGATATTGCGTACATTGTTGGGATGTTAGGCAGATACTTAAGCAACCCTGGTATGGATCATTGGATAGCAGTCAAAAGGGTTATGAGGTATCTTCAGAAAACAAAAGATTACATGCTCACATACAGAAAATCAGAGAAATTAGAGGTCATTGGGTATTCGGACTCTGATTTTGCTGGATGCCAAGATAGCAGGAAGTCTACATCAGGCTACATTTATATGTTAGCAGGAGGAGCTATATCATGGAAAAGTGTCAAACAAACACTAGTAGCTTCCTCCACTATGGCAGCAGAATTTGTAGCTTGCTATGAGGCATCCAATCAGGGAATATGGCTGCGAAATTTTGTCACGGGACTGCGCATTTTGGAAAATGTTGAAAGACCACTAAGGTTATATTGTGACAATAAATCTGCAGTAATGTATTCCAATAACAACAGGAGCTCAACTAAGTCAAAACATATTGACATTAAGTTCCTGGTTGTGAAAGAAAGGGTACAGAGTGGACAGATATCCATAGAGCACATTGGGACAAACTCCATGATAGCTGATCCTCTTACTAAGGGATTGCCACCTAAGGTCTTTCATGAGCATACTGCTCATATGGGTGTGGTATTATTTGAGGATATTATGTTTTAGTGGGAGTTTGTATTTGTGGTGCTTTATGTTTGGTTGTATTGTCTGATCAGAATAAAGTATTCAGTTAAGACACTCTGTTACATTATGTTTGGTTTTGACCTCACTAAGGAGGACCAGTTGAAAATAGACATGTACTGATCACATTGCATGTAATTTTCATGCTGCACATCCATGATTGATCTATGTCGTTTGATTGTATTGGTATATGTGACCATTGATGGGTCGAGTCACGATAAATGTGACGAAGGCCGCTTTGATCCTATATTGATATAGTCAATGGACGAGATTGTTCGGAAATACCTTTTCAGTGATAGCAATTTTTGAGCTCATAAGGTTATACACAATTTAAGGAATCATATGGTGCCCAAGTGGGAGATTGTTGGATTTAATCTAATAAATCTATTTGTGGGCACATATGATTAATCAATGTGTATTGCTATCTTTCAGGATAACCCACTAAAGTGATCAATTAAGTTGGGTTAATTTGGTATTTAAATAAGTCATGGGGTTATATGTGCAGATACCAGGTTGTAATTGTGATTTATTGAGGGGCTAAATTATAAAAGTACAACATCTATAAATAAAGGGTTATGGTCCCTAACCTAGGGTTACATTCTCTAATTCTCTACACCCCCATCTAGCTAGAGAAATTCGGATTTAGAGAAACCCTAAGGTTAGAAGATCAAAACCCATCTCAAGATCAAGCAATGGATTCAGGTATAAGCTTCCGTTCTTTTAGATTATTGTTAATCTCTTTGAATTAATCATGGCTATATGGTTTTAGATCTCAAGTTTTGATTTAGATCTAACAAATTCCTCTCAGAGTTAATCCATCACTTACAGCCTCTATTTTCTTGCAGCAAATTACCCAGTGATTTGCCTGCCAGCGCAGAAGAAGGAAGATGCTGCATTTTATGAACCCGGTATGCCATCTTGATCTTACACACGTATGTTCATACATACAAATAGTAGACATCAATTTCAATTTTCGAACGTTCACCTGATTATATTTGAACATCAAGCTTATAATTATGACCAAGTTATGTCAATTGGTTCCTAGGCCTATATCTTGCCTGAAGTAAAATGAAATTGACTGATATCCATACCTATCGTCCTGTCTACTGAGCTGTTTATTCCTCTAGGATACCTTGGGAAGGTGGTCCTTAGGTGCATTAATAAACTACATAATTTAGCAAATCTGGGATTCATTTACTTCCAAGTAAACCAACTTGGTCTCTAAGCACTAATTTAACTTAAAAAAGGTTCCTTAGCATTATGCCTCTCATTTATTCTTATAGCTTCTTTAAGAAACTTGACTCCAACGAAGAGAGCTGTCATAAATTATTGGTTGGTACACTGGCCTTAAAACTTCATCCAGCCTTCTATATCGGCTTCTCATTATGGATATCTTGCTCCATGACCCCATTCTGGTGTGGAATTGGCTAAGAAGACGACACTGATGATAATGAGAATATTAATTGCGTGAAATTAGAATTTGACAGATTAAATTATTGATGCTTTAATTGACTTAAAACAAGTATAACCTAATAGCACTCGGCATTAGATTTGTTATTACAATAGTGGTAGAGTATTCTAGCTTATTTCAGCATTGAAGTCTTTGGTGTTTCTCACTTTTATGTTTTCTTTTACCATAATTTCTCGTGGTGTAAAATACGACTTTTGTTATGGTTGTCTATGAAACTCTATGCGGTTGATCGAAATTATTTTTGGGCGTTATACAAAGGCTAAATATTATAAATCCCCCTTAGGTTTGGATGATTATCGGAAAACCCCCTTAACTTAAAAAATATCAGAAAACCCCCTTTAAGTTTAGGGGTTATTAGAAAACCCCTTTTATATAACTCTGATATTTGGACTTATATAAAAGCTCATTATACATCCTTCTAAAATCAATATAGAGAATGGAATAGGTGTAGATTTACTAATTTTTATTTCATGTCTTTAATGATCATTAGATCTCCTTGCAATGATTAATTTTGCTTGGTTGGAATTCTTCAGGTCTGCGGCATGAAGATCTAGTTCAGTTGAACTGTTCCCATATTATATGGATTCTCAAACTGCAGAAGAGATCAACAACTTCATCCACAAGATCTCACTAAGCTCTCTTACGTGTAACTATCAACTTCCTATGATTGTGTTTTTTCTTAGCTTTATACGTCAATTGATATTCATAAAGTTGTGTTGTTCAGAAAATAAGGTAATAAAAAGGGAGCTGCTATTTGTCTCGCAAAGCCCATCACACACGCAGTGTTGTTCAGAAAATAAGGTAATAAAAAGGGAGCTGCTATTTGTCTCGCAAAGCCCATCACACACGCATCGCGCAATAGAGAGAGAAACAGGGGGTGGGACCCACAGGGAAAAAAATCAGCTGTGGGTCCCACTCCCCCTGTTTCTCTCTCTTGCATGCTGCGTGCGTGATGAGCTTTGCGAGACAAATAGCATTTCCGTAATAAAAAGCATTCTTTTGGCTAATTTGAATGGAACTAATCATCTAGGTAAGGCTTCATTGTTTCCAAGGCATAATCCATGTCATAATTTTTTAATTTGTTTTCTTTATCTTAATCTGTAATGATTCGTCACTGTGCAGAACCTTTTTTGTTTGATTTTTGATACTTGTATATTTAATTAGTTGGAATTGTGTACCTGCTACTAAGGATATAATATAAAGTACTCATGTGATCATTATTATAATGTAACATATATTATTATAAAGTACAGTGCAAAGTTCAAATATTAGTGGTAGAAAATTGAACAAAACGTTGGAGTTTGTTAACAACCACCTTCCTACCCATTTAATCACATGCAGGCAATGTGGTAATTCCAAGAAAGGGGGATAAAAAAATAAAGGCTGGACTAACAGGAGTGCTCAAGGTGCCGTATAAAAAAATTGGGTTAACTAAGCAAACAGAAATGATATACATGTAACGAGATTTGAAGTAAATCATGGACTCACTGTTTCAGAGGCAGAGAAGGGTGTAGAATACAAGAGGGATAAAAGCATTGTCAAGCTGTGCCGTGTATGCTTGCAATAAACCACTCGCAGTAACTGTTACCATTAGAAGTTGAGAGGGCATATTAATAAGGAGAATACTATTGTGTAAGATCATAGAATAGCAAATTTGCAAGAAAGAAAAACTTATGGTTGTTGAAGATGCAAAATAAAGTTAGTACCAGAATATCCTTTATTATGCAATCACCTGTCCAAAAATGGAGTAATAGCTATTTTGAAGAATCATCAGCATCCCTTGCAAAGTTGCAAAGTCATTAGGGAAGCACTTAGATTTTTATGCTTTCAGGCTTATCAATTTAAGGATTGGAATGATATATTATGAACTCCCTCCCTCCCACCGTCGTACTTTAATAACTTTCGAAGTGTTTTGTGAGAGGAAATGGCCTGTAATGGTATTCCTCAAATTCTCACCATCCCCATAAACCTGAGCACCCTTATCCTCCTCACTGCATAATAGGTTCAGGTGAAGAAGATCTTGTTCCAGGTGACGATTGACCTCGCGGCAGGATAGGATTTATGTATTCGACCCAAAAATTTAAGATAAATGCTTCGATTGATGTTAATGTGTTTAGTTGTTGCCTAGAAATAAACCAATCACAATTTGTTTCTCTACCCTGCAAACTTTCAGTGAATTATCGTCTCTCAAGTGAATCACAATTTGGAGGTTTTGTCTTACTTTTTATTTCTATATTTTTTATTTGGATCAAGGAGGTTTTATAGACGTTAAGAATTTTAGAAAAAGTTATAGTGAATCCTCCAAATTTCATGGAGAGCCAAGGATTCAATTTATTTTTGGTAATTACGAATAAACTCTTTTAGTATCACCCAGTTGCAAATAGACTCTCTATAATTCTATTTGGGGCGAATAGACCTCCTGAATGAATTATTTTTTATGCTTAAGTCACCAAAAAGGTTTTGAGGAGGCGGATTTACCCTTGTGGTATGGATATGCCCTCAATTACCTTTCTTTTTTAATTTTAAAAGAGTGAAAAAAGTTCATTAAGAGAGCATACTTGCACTTGTGCTAGTAATACAAGGGTGCATTCGCATAAATATAACTATATGAGGGTCCCATCGCAATTAGATGATACGACACGGAGCTATTGGCATCCTTTCATTTTTCTTCCGCGGCTGCAGGTTGAACGTAGCACGTGCACATCCACTACTCAATCAATACAAAATATTCATCACGTGTTAAACCTCGTGACAATAAAAAATTAGAAAGAGTAAATTGGAAAAAATAACAGAGCGGAGAACACACCGGCGGAGGACCGGATCTCTCTAATTTAAGCGTCAAGCAGAAGAAAGAGAGAGAGAGAGGGGGAGGAAAAAAGAAGGAAAAAAAAAGGGGGGGCTTCAGGCTATTGAGCTTTAAAGGAGAAGATGGTGATGTTATTGAATCAGCATCTCTTCGGAGGGATCGTGGCTTCGATTCTAGGGTTCCTTCTCCTCTCGCAATTCTTCCGCAGAGGAACATCTCTTCGGAGGGATCGTGGCTTCGATTCTAGGGTTCCTTCTCCTCTCGCAATTCTTCCGCAGAGGAAAGAAGAACAAGGTCAATAATGAGGAGAAGATGGCTGGCGAGGTTGTTGAGATGACGTCATCACGAGACGGGGAGAACAAGGTCAATAATGAGGAGAAGATGGCTGGCGAGGTTGTTGAGATGACGTCATCACGAGACGGGGAATGTGGGTCCCGCGATGGGCCTGACGTTGTTGTCGTCGGCGCCGGAGTCGCCGGATCGGCCCTTGCCTATGCGCTTGGAAAGGTTGAATCTTTTTCCTCAAATCTGAACTGTTTTGCATCCCCTACTCTCCACCAATCTGATCTAGCCAAGTAATACTAATAACGATTAATTTTTAAATTTCATTAATTTAACTAAGCAGCTATGTATGGAAAGATTATTCATTTTAACAAAACTGAAATGACAAGTACTCATTTATAAGGTTAGAAGGGACACAATTGAAAGGCTACTACAATTTAGAAGGTAAAATAACTATTACTATGATTTTTATGGCACATATGGAAAAAACTCTTGGTATTATGTTCATTGATGTTTGGTTAATTTATGTGTCGTATTGAAAAATGGGAGATGAAATCTCTAAAATTGATTGTTTTAAGAAACTTTTTGAGATTTTGGATATCTGTTAATAAAATCAAATGAGCACAGAAGCAGTAACACAAGAACCAACTTCTTATTGTTTTGCAGCACAAAAGTAATATGGAATTTAGAATAATCATTAATCAATGATCAAACTCGGAGCAAACTTCTTATTGCTTTGCAGCACCCTTATTGAGTCTGGTGTTAATCCACCATTACTAGCGTTCAACAGTGCCCTACCTGCTCCCCATGAATGCTCCCTATACATCGTTTCTTTCCACTTTGGTATCTCGTGTATCTTTTTTCCAATATTGTTCGATATATTTTCTTTTATACTTTATGACTCTTTGGTCTCCTTTCTTATTTGGTTTAGCGAAGTTTCAGTTTTGCATTTATATGAATACAGTAGGAAGTTCATCTTCTTCTTTTTTTAATAACAAGAAGGCAAGGTTAAAAGTTTGTAACATGACATGTATCATGCTTGAAATTGAAATGTAATGAGAAGAAAATGTTCTTTCAAATAAGGAAACAAATTACGGGTTAGTTACACGTAGGTCCCCGGTTGTATGTCTGTTTTGGACTTTCTACACCTGTAGTTTTATTGTTGCAGATAGAGCCCTGGCTTAAATTACTTTTAACTCTTTTATCCTCAGATAGACTCAGTATTTTCACCTAGTGGCATATCTACCAACATTTCACCAAGTGTAAAAGAGGCAGAAGACCTGGGGGGTCTATATCCAATAATGAACTACAATGAAACTATGATGTTAAGTTCAAAACAAAAAGAGCGTAGGGGGTGTATGCACAATTAACCAAATTAATTGCAATTGGCTGGACACTATTATTTTGTAGTTCGTTAAGATACAGTTTAATCAGGTTTATCGGGAGTATTAGTTGGAGTTGAGTGCAACATGATCTGAACATATAGCCAAAAAGTGGGGAATGGGGCCTTTTAAAATGGAGTTGAAAGGGTGGGAATCTTTTCAACTAATGTACTCATTCTGCATATATTTGATTGACATCCTCTTTTGAGATAAATATACTCATTCTGTGAAAAACACTACTTAATATGCTGGTAAGTATATACGTGACCAAATACTTGCTACTTTTTACACACATATAAAGAACCAAGTGCTTGTTGATTCTTTTAAATGAACACAGTGTCTAAAGTTGAAGCCATTTATTGAGCTTATCAACTCACTTTGAGATATATTTTACTTGCTGAGATTAAAAAAACAAGTAGAATTTGATTGGTCACCAAATATATTCAAGAGAGATGGATTTCACTAGGTTTCAGATCCAAGATGGTGAAATTAAAAGAGGTAGGAACCTTTTAATGTAATGAAGAAGTAAAGCTTGATTTTTGAGAAAGACAGTATGGAGAAGCAATGTTGTTTCAGTTATCAGTATTTCTACGGGAAGTTTAGTAGGAAATAGTCGATCCTAGATTCCTAGGTAAAAGTTCATTGTAGCAAAATGGTAAATTCTATCTGTTTAATTGTGTTGTACTTTACATCATTGTTTTATTAAAGTTTTTTTTCTTTGTTACTTGTGGGCATGCCAGCATATACATCATATATTTCCTTCATGAGACAATCCTTACATCCTTTCATAGGACATGTCCAGGCCTCTAAACTGAGTTTTGAAGGAATTGGATTTTATTGTTTGTAGGATGGGCAGCGAGTGCATGTAATTGAGAGAGATTTGACAGAACCTGATAGAATTGTTGGTGAATTGTTACAACCTGGAGGCTACTTGAAACTAATTGAGCTGGGCCTTGAGGGTAAGGATTTAATCGCATCACTAATTCTTGCTTGAGTAAATTACTCCGAGCTCTTCATTATTATCTAATATTTGCAAATTGGTGCATTGTTCAATTGCATCTGGCTGTTGACTTTTATTGCGCAATCATTTGCAATCTTGAGAACACTGTACACTAAACAAATATTTATTTTCCAGATTGTGTGGATGAAATTGATGCCCAGAGGGTACTTGGGTATGCTCTTTTCAAGGATGGTAAGGATACCAAATTGTCTTATCCCTTGGAAGAATACCATTCAGATGTTGCATGCTCTTTTCAAGGATGGTAAGGATACCAAATTGTCTTATCCCTTGGAAGAATACCATTCAGATGTTGCGGGTAGGAGTTTTCACAATGGGCGGTTTATTCAAAGGATGCGAGAGAAAGCTGCGTCTTTGCCCAAGTAACCTTTTTTTTTTCCCCAAGTTTTTATGTAATGCTTATGTTGATCCTTAGTCAAATAATTGTTTTTTTTGGAAGTGAATATTAAAATCTGAAGTGAAAGTTGAAGAACTTCAGAAAATTTTCAAACTAGATTAATTTACTTTTTTTCTATTACATCTAGCTTCCTTGATATGATCCTTCACATTCTTAGTATTTATTGATATTTATGATTATCTACTATGTTTTATCCTTTTTGAACCTAAGGACTATGCCGTTTAATATATTTATGTGGCAACTTTATTATGGAAAAATGATCTGGTTACAAGAAAGAGCTTCCAGAGGAGCATTACTGACAACTGCTTTAGATGTTGCCATTAGACATAAAAATTAGCATCATACCTTTGGAGAATGAATGTTTTTGTTTAAGGGGCTGTTTAGTTGGCTAAAAAAATAAGGAAAAAAAAGGAAACATATTTCCTATAATAGGTTCATTTCTTGTGTTTGGTTCACTTCTTAAAAGTAAGAAAGGAGATGAGATGAGATGAGTTGTCACCATATTATTGGATGATGTGGGTGATTTGTTAAAAAACAAATTTCATGACTTATTTTGAGGTTGTTTGGTTGGCTAAAAAAACAAGGAAATCAATTATAAGAAATCTATTTTCTATAATAGGTTCTTTTGTTGTGTTTGGTTTATTCTTAAAACTAAGAAAAGAGATGAGATGTGATGAGTTGTCATTATATTATTGGATGATGTGACTCATATTTAGGGAAACACATTTCATGATTTATTTTGAGGAAATGGATGGAAATCAAATTTTAATGAGATGAGATGAGTTGTCACCATATTATTGGATGATGTGGGTGATTTGTTAAAAAACAAATTTCATGACTTATTTTGAGGTTGTTTGGTTGGCTAAAAAAACAAGGAAATCAATTATAAGAAATCTATTTTCTATAATAGGTTCTTTTGTTGTGTTTGGTTTATTCTTAAAACTAAGAAAAGAGATGAGATGTGATGAGTTGTCATTATATTATTGGATGATGTGACTCATATTTAGGGAAACCCATTTCATGATTTTTTGTGTGGAAATGGATGGAAATCAAATTTTAATGAGATGAGATGAGTTGTCACCATATTATTGGATGATGTGACTCATTTTTAAAGATGAGATGTTTTAATGAGATGAGATGAGTTGTCACCATATTATTGGATGATGTGACTCATTTTTAAAGATGAGATGAGTTGTCACCATATTATTGGATGATGGGGGTGTTTTTTTAAGGATGGAAATCAACTTTTAATGGTTTCCGGGGTCCTATTTTCTTTTCTTTGATTTTAGGAAACAAGTATTAAACATATGACAGAAAATAAGAATAATAATATGGAAAGACGACAACTAATTTTGTTGAAGCCGGACTAAGTTAATCTATAAATGCCAACAGCTCCAGTTTTAGGTGGAGTGGACATACTGAATGGTTCTATTCATTAAAAGCATATTTGGCCATGAAAATCAATAGGATGCACAATTGGATGTGTGACTCCACACTGTATGGCCTGTTGGATCAATCTGCAGAAACTAAGAAAGTGAAGTTACCCAGATTTAAATAATACTTCATGACTCTAGGACTTGATATGTAAGTTTTCATGATTAAGTAACGTGTAACATATTGTAGTTTATTTCTTTTCCAAGTGTAATGCAGGCTAAGTATGAACAAGTTTTGCATATTGCTATCAAAAGACGTAATTCTTTCCTGTTAGTTTGAAATGAATGATTTTGCAGCATGTCATCTCTGGTTATTTAGTTTCTTTTTATCTGATACACACTTCATGGTGAATTTTGTTTCTTTAATATGATTGCTCTGACTTTTGCAGTGTCCAGTTGGAGCAGGGAACCGTAACATCTTTGATTGAAGAGAATGGGACAGTTAAGGGGGTGTCATACAAGTCCAAATCTGGTGAAGAACTCAAAGCTTATGCACCTCTTACAATTGTATGTGATGGTTGCTTCTCAAATCTGCGGCGTGTTCTCTGCTCTCCAAAGGTGAAGAAAACAACTTAGCCTACAATATATTCTCTTGTTACTTATGAAGTCCTCGTCCACACCCACCACAGGTGATCTGGACGGTTGGGAGGTTCCAATATGGCTCTCATAGTCTTGGGTTTGATTCTGGGTTGGGTTATCAAAAAAAAAAAAAAGTCTTCGTCCACAATGGCCATTCCTTCTTTACTAAGGAGTAACAAAACATTAAATTACTTTATACAACGCAGGTGGATGTACCTTCTTGTTTTGTTGGTTTGGTCCTTGAGAACTGTGAGCTTCCATATCCAAACCATGGGCATGTTGTCTTGGCTGATCCTTCTCCGATACTATTTTATCCTATAAGCAGCACCGAAGTCCGCTGTTTGGTAGATGTACCCGGCCAGAAAGTGCCTTCTATAGCAAATGGTGAAATGGCTAAGTACCTGAAGACTGTCGTAGCTCCTCAGGTACATTTTAGTACGATTTGCAATTTTCTTTTTTATTGTGTGGTTTGTTTCTGTTGTCTCATAGGCTAATTTTGGTTGTGAGCACGAAGAATTCACGAGGTAAGGTCTTGTTTGTCTACTAGATAGAGGAAAAAGGAGAAGTTGGTGGTGGTTGGGAAGGAAAAGAAGGGTTATGTCATATTAGACTCCCAAACCTTTGTTAATTCTATATTGGACGCCCAAATCTTCATATTTCTAAATTGGACCCCTAATTCATTAAGTTGTTTAAATACGACCCCCAAATCTATTAAGTTATTGTGAATATGACCCCTAAATTTGTTAAGTTGCTTTGAATGAGACCCTCATTTCAAACAAATATGAAGATTCAGGGGATCTAATATAGAATTAACAAAGACTTGGGGGTCTAATATGGCACAAACCCAAAGATGAAAGGAAAACATAGTGTCTCCCTTGGAGCTGCAAAAAATCCCCACTTGGAAGTGTACATGGAAGCTAATAAATCATATCCTATTATTTCTTTGGAACAAAGTTACGCTTAATACTTTTAATGTTATTTTTCTATCAGAGATGATCATCAAATCATGTAATTTAACAGCTTGTGATGATGGTACTAGATTTCCTCATTCCTTATTTGCATTTATCACGCTTCTTACATGTACGTATCTCATCATTCAGGTCCCAGCTAAGCTGCATGATGCTTTTATTTCAGCCATTGATAGAGGAAGCATAAGAACTATGCCAAATAAGAGTATGCCAGCTGCTCCATATCCAACTCCTGGAGCCCTTTTAATGGGGGATGCATTCAACATGCGTCATCCTTTAACAGGTGGAGGAATGACTGTGGCATTGTCTGATATAGTTGTTCTTCGAAATCTCCTCAAGCCTTTGCCCAATCTCCATGATGCTGCTTCCCTGTGCAAATATTTAGAATCCTTCTATACCTTGCGCAAGGTAATCCATAGGATACTATAATTTTTCAAACTTGTTAACTTTCAGTCAAATCTCTTCAGTTATTTTCCTGTAAATGAAAAATATTACTGAGTTTCCAAATAAGAATATTTTGTCTTATTTGTATGATATGGTATATTATCTATGACTGATGTGATTATTTACTATAGCAATATCTTTTATTATTATTACTTTTCTCCTTTGTTTATTGCGACTATTAAGTAATGCAGTAATATTGCAAAAATTTTTGTACTGGAATTTGGTTTCCTAACGCTTTGCGTTTTTTGGGGGGTTCAATTTGGTATATATTCTATTTTAGATTCCTGTACCTAGCGGAATGTTTTCTTGCACTGCATATAGAAGTTTTTGTTATTCAAGATAAAAAATTCACATGTTACCCCTTTCTTTTTGCAGCCAGTGGCTTCTACGATAAACACCTTGGCTGGTGCCTTGTACAAGGTATTCAGTGCCTCACCAGATCAAGCAAGGAATGAGATGCGTCAAGCCTGTTTCGATTATCTCAGCCTTGGTGGTGTGTTTTCCAATGGACCTGTTGCTTTGCTATCTGGTCTTAATCCTCGTCCATTAAGCTTGGTTTGCCACTTCTTTGCTGTTGCAATCTATGGTGTTGGCCGTTTATTGCTGCCGTTTCCTTCTCCCAGGAAGCTATGGATCGGTGCAAGATTGATTTCAGTGAGTCATCATTAACAATGTTATTGCTTGCTTTCTTTATCAAGACATTGATATTGCTTGTTTAATTTTTGTTTCCTATTCTCGTTATTAGCTTGGTCCAATTTTCTTCTTTTCTTTTATTTTTCTTTAAATTTTTTATTTTTTTATAGGCAGCTTCAGGGATCATTTTCCCGATAATAAAAGCCGAAGGGGTTAGGCAAATGTTCTTCCCTGCAACTGTTCCTGCATACTATAGAGCTCCACCTGTTAAATGACAAATGGAAACAGTGCTCCCAATGCCGGGCGATTTAAGTCAACTACATGTGTCTCATTTGTGAAGAGTACAACTCATAATTCCCTATTTTTGTAATGGTACATGTATGTTATATGTTTTAACCTTGGTGGCATTTATCCTGGTTTTGGGACATCTAATAGTCATGTTCCTGATTTATGCATGTCGTATTTGTGTATTTATACGGTAATTTAATGTACGGACGATGTCAAGCAAAATTGTGGTTCTTGTGCTGAAGGTCTTGAAAACTGTACAAAATGTAAACTGATAGGACAAATTGTTACTGGGTGTCTGAGAGTCCCTTGATTTTCTTAGTTTTGGCCCCTTAATAATTTCCGTTGTTGTAACTCTGCATTATGGTAGCTGATGTACTAACTTTATATTTTCTAATCGATAGATCTTGGCTTAAACAGCAGGAACTGGCTTTAAAGATGCTGCAGGTAGTCGGGGACTTTTGACGGTAAGGGAGCTCGTGATTCATTTTGGTGATTCAGCTGGAAGCAGTGAATTTTTTTCCCCTGGAAGCAGTGAATTTTTTTCTTTCATTTGCTTCTGTCAGTGGTGTAATGGGTCTTTCCTTTTCTTTCCACACAGGCAGCCTTAGCTGCCCTTGCTGAGGTATGTAGCATGAGATTTGTGAATGGAGTGCGTACTCGAACTGGATTAATGGGAATTGACTACCCAACTGCATCATGGCTATATAGGTCAGTCCATTATGCGTTTGAGTGCTGCAAGGTAGACCCAAATATGGATGTGCATTTTCCCAATTCTCGAGTCCTAATTTCTCCATTACATTTTAATTTCTTTTTCTCCTTTTACTTTCTCATTATGTCTCTGCATTATGCTTGTACGAAGATTTTGACAGATAATGCGTTTTTCCTTCCTATAGAGAAATTGGACATAAGGAGTACAAAGTGAGTTCTGTGGATGATGTCTACAATCCATTTGTTTCCATGTACTTTGGTGCATCCTACTTTGACTGGCTGTCAGAATACAAAGGAAGGTGAGCCATATCACTTCTTTGACCTCAAGACCAGACTACAAATGTCTTGTGTCTTTGGCTCATTTGCCACGGTGAGATTATGGTTTAATGGTCATGTGCGTGTATGAGATGAAAGGGTATTCTTCTTATCATGTGTGGAATTTTCAACTCTTCGAGCATGGAATAAGGATCCTATCGGAACCGCATCATAGGAATGTGGTGGTTCGTATTATAGATGGAAGAGCTAAAATTCCAAAGCCAACCCCCCAACCACCATTAATGTTATGGATCACCAGTTCTATGCAGATGTTCTGATGGAATCTGCACCCTCGAGCATGTTATCATTTTATTCCTGAAAAAAAGAAGAAGGAAAACACCACAAAAAAGTCAATATTATTTGCAAAAGAAGCATGAGGAACACTACCAACTAACTTTAATGTGATCCTAATGAAACAATTATAAGAGTCGTTATTTAATTCTTCACATTGAAAATTCATAGGTTTATTGAGAGTGTATTGGATCGATAATATTTTACTGTCTGTTACATTATTAACAATCATTTTACTTCTGCTTGTGTGGCAATTTGTTGAAAGCAGGCAAAGAAACTATGAGTTCATTGTCCAGGCTTATTTAGGAGGGCCAGCAAATGTGAATTTCCAGGAGACAGGCCCTCTTTGGAAAAAGTTTCAGGAATCTTTGAGTCACTATGAAGTCCCGACAAGGTAAGCGGTCCCAAAAACTTTGTTATTTTGGTACATCATCATATTGTTAGTGAGGAAAATTCCTCTCAGAGTTAATCTATCACTTACAGCCTCTATTTTCTTGCAGCAAATTTCCCAGTGATTTGCCTGCCAGCGCAGAAGAAGGAAGATGCTGCATTTTATGAACCCGGTATGCCATCTTGATCTTACACACGTATGTTCATACATACAAATAGTAGACATCAATTTCAATTTTCGAACGTCACCTGATTATATTTGAACATCAAGCTTATAATTATGACCAAGTTATGTCAATTGGTTCCTAGGCCTATATCTTGCCTGAAGTAAAATGAAATTGACTGATATCCATACCTATCGTCCTGTCTACTGAGCTGTTTATTCCTCTAGGATACCTTGGGAAGGTGGTCCTTAGGTGCATTAATAAACTACATAATTTAGCAAATCTGGGATTCATTTACTTCCAAGTAAACCAACTTGGTCTCTAAGCACTAATTTAACTTAAAAAAGGTTCCTCAGCATTATGCCTCTCATTTATTCTTATAGCTTCTTTAAGAAACTTGACTCCAACAAAGAGAGCTGTCATAAATTATTGGTTGGTACACTGGCCTTAAAACTTCATCCAGCCTTCTATATCGGCTTCTCATTATGGTTATCTTGCTCCATGACCCCATTCTGGTGTGGAATTGGCTAAGAAGACGACACTGATGATAATGAGAATATTAATTGCGTGAAATTAGAATTTGACAGATTAAATTCTTGATGCTTTAATTGACTTAGACAAGTATAACTTAATAGCACTAGGCATTAGATTTGTTATTACAGTAGTGGTAGAGTATTCTAGCTTATTTTAGCATTGAAGTCTTTGGTGTTTCTCACTTTTATGTTTTCTTTTACCATAATTTCTCGTGGTGTAAAATACGACTTTTGTTATGGTTGTATATGAAACTCTATGCAGTCGATCAAAATTATTTTTGGGTGTTATACAAAGGCTAAATATCATAAATCCCCCTTAGGTTTGGATGATTATCGGAAAACCCCCTTAACTTAAAAAATATCAGAAAACCCCCTTTAAGTTTAGGGGTTATTAGAAAACCCCTTTTATATAACTCTGATATTTGGACTTATATAAAAGCTCATTATACATCCTTCTAAAATCAATATAGAGAATGGAATAGGTGTAGATTTACTAATTTTTATTTCATGTCTTTAATGATCATTAGATCTCCTTGCAATGATTAATTTTGCTTGGTTGGAATTCTTCAGGTCTGCGGCATGAAGATCTAGTTCAGTTGAACTTGCAATGATTAATTTTGCTTGGTTGGAATTCTTCAGGTCTGCGGCATGAAGATCTAGTTCAGTTGAATTGTTCCCATATTATATGGATTCTCAAACTGCAGAAGAGATCAACAACTTCATCCACAAGATCTCACTAAGCTCTCTTACATGTAACTATCAACTTCCTATGATTGTGTTTTTTCTTAGCTTTATACGTCAATTGATATTCATAAAGTTGTGTTGTTCAGAAAATAAGGTAATAAAAAGGGAGCTGCTATTTGTCTCGCAAAGCCCATCACACACGCAGTGTTGTTCAGAAAATAAGGTAATAAAAAGGGAGCTGCTATTTGTCTCGCAAAGCCCATCACACACGCAGCGCGCAATAGAGAGAGAAACAGGGGGTGGGACCCACAGGGGACAAAATCAGCTGTGGGTCCCACTCCCCCTGTTTCTCTCTCTTGCGTGCTGCGTGCGTGATGAGCTTTGCGAGACAAATAGCATTTTCGTAATAAAAAGCATTCTTTTGGCTAATTTGAATGGAACTAATCATCTAGGTAAGGCTTCATTGTTTCCAAGGCATAATCCATGTCATAATTTTTTAATTTGTTTTCTTTATCTTAATCTGTAATGATTCGTCACTGTGCAGAACCTTTTTTGTTTGATTTTTGATACTTGTATATTTAATTAGTTGGAATTGTGTACCTGCTACTTAGGATATAATATAAAGTACTCATGTGATCATTATTATAATGTAGCATATATTATTATAAAGTACAGTGCAAAGTTCAAACATTAGTGGTAGAAAATTAAACAAAACGTTGGAGTTTGTTAACAACCACCTTCCTACCCATTTAATCACATGCAGGCAATGTGGTAATTCCAAGAAAGGGGGATAAAAAAATAAAGGCTGGAGGTACCTTGGAGACTGGAGATTGCATAATTTAATGTTCAAGTTCACTTAAAATGCTATTACTTTAAAATGATTATTGTTCAAACAGTCAATTCTGATGGATTTGGTCATAAAAGGATACGGAAAACATCATCTATAATCTTTTCCTGTTGGTGGTTGACTGCATCTCATATGGTTTGGTGCAATCCACAAATTATTAAATGGATGATTGCAATTTATATAATGACAAATGACCAATATTGCAGTAGCTTATGCTGGCTAGAAGTGCTCAAGATTGACACTGGTATTAAAAAGTAGATTAAATGTCTCACCAACTAAATTACACTTCTCTTGCGTCGTCATAATTTCTCTGAAGTACCAGTCATACTACTGAACTAATGCATTTGACATTTTGGTTTACATCTACTAGAGTAAACTTGAGAGTATTCTCCTATTAAATAGACTTACTAGTGTGCACCCCGTGACCACCATTTTTTTTCCTTTTTTTTATATTTCTGCTACAGAATTACTGTATCCAAACACATTTTTTCTGTAATTGCTACAATATCTCGTCTGAGCTACAGTATAACACTACAGCAGCACTGACACAGTAATAATTTACTGTAGCGTGAACAGTGAATCTTGGATCCTACCGTTATTACAGAGGAATAGATTAGAGGAGAGAAACAAGGACCACTTACTGATTGTGGGGACACATCCCATGTTAGTAGATTGAAAGAGATTGGATGGCGGGTCCCACAACTTTCTATCCTAGCTGTGATTGTGTCAGCAGTTAAGACATTCCTTCACCCAAAGCGTGGTAGAGAGAAGAGGAGGTTGCCTTCTTTGCAGTAAAAAAAAAAAAGGATCAACTGCTTGTGTATATTTGCTATGGTGTTACACCCGTATTTTCTGGATATTACTACTTGCACCCTTGGTATCTCCGACAGGATTACATTTTTGCCCTTAATTATTTTCATTTAATCTTTACTGAAGGGTATTATAGTGTAGTGAAATGGTGAGTTTCGTTTGACATATAAACTAATATGGGATGCAAGTGTTAATAAAATACTTAGAGTGTACAATGGCTTATACCTTATAATACAAGGACTGTATCAGCAATTTGTCTTGATGAAGACTATTCGGTAAATCATATCCACTGTGAGCTATATTTTAAGATATAAATGAATAAAATACAATGTGTACCTCAGAATTGCAATGAATAATCTCATAAACAAGGTGAAAATCTTGAGGATCTAGAGTTTTGTCTGTTTGACTATATATGGTCCTTGATGCATGTGAATATATGGAGGAGTTGTGGTCTCCAATGCACATGGAGGAGATGGACCCTGTTCCCAATTTGGCCAATATTTTAGGACATATTCTTAAGGGCCCCCTAGTCATTTTGACCAGTTCAAATATTAAGTCTTTAGAATTAGAGAAGTTTGATCTAATTATATCTCATATATATTTAATCCACATGATCCACTTCTCAGTAACAACTCTGTCCCAAAAATAAGGGTTGATGAACCGCTTCCTAGTGTGTTTTAAGTAAAATTTAAATTGAGGGGGGGAAACACAAAACAGTTGTGAGTGAAATTAGGGTACACAATTCCAAAACCTATCCTTAAATCAAGGATCAGATATTCCCCATAACCTCTTTCTCTCTCTCTCTCTATATATATATATCCAATAACAACCACACACTACGTACTACTCATTAAGATCTCAGCATCTCCATCCATCAAACACAAAAACAAAACTCACAAAATGCCAGCTCATCCTCAATCCACCACGGCCGCATGAAGAAGCTCAAGAAGGAGAGCCACAAGATGCTGTGCTTGGCGCCTCGGCCAGTGGCTTTCGACTGCCGTTATGATCCCCTGAGTTATGCGAGAAACTTTGATGGTGGCGACGATTCTCATTTGCCGTATGCATTTGCTTCGAGGTTTGTCGCTGCCGCGAAAACGCCGCTGGTTCAGGGGAACAATGTTACTAGATGATTTTTCTTTTTCTTTTTTATTGTTATTTTTTTGATGGATTAAGAGGGAAATGAGGATGATGATGGGGGGTATATATGTTCTGTTAGATGTGGGTTATTGTAGGTTTTTTTTACCCCTCTGTTTCCTTTTTGTTGTTTTTATAATTTTTGTTACCATGGATTTTTGTAAGGGTAACTGAATAAATGGGATCTGAATTTGTTCTCTCTGTTTTTGTTACCATGAAACCCCTTATCAATCTATCCAGGGGATGTAGTTACTTCAGCTTCACAGATTATGTGATCTTGAACTAGATAATGATCAATGCTAAAACTCGCGAGAAGAATGAATTAAAATAATACAGCTATAAACTAAATTTGCGCATAATTATATTTAGACAATTCTGAATTCCTTAAAATGGGAAGTTGTCACGCTGTCACTGCAGAATTATCTTCCTAATTGAGATACACAAGTAGATTCATAATTTTCATCAGTCATATAAGCCAACATTCTTGTCCTGTTTTGTTCTTTTTGAGCCAATGACAATTAACTAAGCATATTTTAAATTTACCCATTTCATGGGCTAACCCATGATACTTGTTCATTTCATTCTTTTCGACCTCATGACAATTCATCACGCTTACCAAAAAATTCGTGATTTTCGTGGGTTATAACCCATAGCTTCAATCTATTTTCATTAGTTTCGACCTAATGACAATTAAATTTTCCTTCATGAAAAGTCATGATTTTCATAGGCTATATCGCACAATTTTCATAAATTTTCGTTATTTACCCAATGGCAAATAAATATGGATACTTCACAATTCGTTATTACCCATAACTTTTGCTCATTTTTGTATGTTTTGATCTAATACAAATTAAGTGTGCGAACATCAATATTCACGATTTTCATGGCTTATAACCCACAATTTTCGTCAATTATCATTCTTTCGACATATGGCAAGTAATTATAACTACCTCACGATTTTAATGGATTTATACCCACGATTTTGACATTCTTTAGTTTCGTCCCAATTGAGAGTAATTATACATACTTCGAAATTTATGATTTTTAATAGGTTATAACTCACGATTTTGTCATTTTTTAGCATTTTTGACTGAGTAACAACTAATTATGCATATAATTCAACATTCATGGGCTTACCCGTGATTTCCATAATTCGTGAATTTCATTAGCTATAACACATTATTGTTGTTAATTTCTCTTAGTTTCGACCCAATGATAATTAAGTTTTGTGTTCTAAAAAATGGCAATTCTCATGGGCTACAATTTTTATTAATTTTCGTCCTTCTTGACCCAATGACAAATAAATATTTGTGATATTTTTGATTTTTAGTAGTTATAGCCAACGATTTTTGTCTAGATTTTACCTTTTCGAGCCAATGACAATGAGCTAAGTATATTTTAAAATTTTCAATTTCATGAGTTATAACCCACGATCTTTGCTCATTTTTGTTTGTTTCGACTAAATGCCAATTAAAGTTTCTTTCATTAAAAGTCATGATTTTCATGAGCTATAAGGAATGATTTTAGTAAATTTAAGTTATTCTACCCAATGAAAATAAGTAATCTTTCTAAGTTTCTCTGTAAATAATAAACAAAAATAAGAGGAAAAAAAAATATGTGGGTCGTATATGATCTGCAGGAAAAAAAAAAAACAGACCCAAGAATGATAGATAGAATAGATAAATAAGGTAGATAACAGGACTGAAATCATAAATATTCAGGGAACCACAAAATATACATTGGGGTACAGAAACTGACACCGCAAATGTTGAAGTTGCCTCATCGACCACCAAGCAGTGGTTGTATAGTGGTTAAAGTTCATCAAAAGGCAAGAGCAATATTTGGTTCCCAGGATAGGCACTAAGGCATGCACAGTGTTATCAATGCGCAATGCTGGGCGCAAGGTCTCTTCACACGCACATGCGCAAGGTGCAATATGATGCTCGTGCCCGAGTGAAGCGAGACACACACCACACGCATAATTTTTCAAGATGGTTATCAAACATGAAAGAGCATGTTTTTATATTTTCACATAAAAATATGTCAAGATAAATAGTATCTACTATGAAATCACAAAATAATGTCTTAATCTCTTATGCAAACACATCCAACGGGAGCGAAGTTCATAAAATCAAAAGTCAAATCAAGACTAATATTAAAGCGAACTTATGGTCTTCAATTGAGCTACTATAACGGCCTGACGGTTTTATTTTGCTTTTTGAGATATGATTCGTCAAGTATAAAGGCTCGATTGAATTGTTAAAGAACAATATTATATGATGCTATGCCTAGCATGCACCCCACGTGAAGCATATGTCACTTGTGAGGCGCAAAGGGCGTTGTTGCATCAGATGCAAGGCACTTCACCATTACCCCACATCGCAGGGCATATAAGGTGCAGTGAGGCGCGCGCGCCTTTGAAAACACTGCACCCAACACCTATTTCCCAAAAATTAATGAAAATAGAATACTAATAATCAAGGAGATAATTTCAAAGATCATTCTCATAGAGTAAGTCAGTACGACCTACTAAGATAAGTTCCATTATCAAATGCACTTGGTCATCCTCTTATTATTAAGCATGCAACCTTAATAACATTTACGAGACAAGTATTCTGCCTATTTATTTATGTACTAACATATCAGCATTAATTACTGAACACTTGATATTATAAGTTAATATATAAATTGATTTGCCAAAAGACGGTTATTTTCTTCTCATCCACAAATTTATGTACTAACATGTACAGTTAAAAAGTTTAAAACTTTTCGAATAGTGTGAAGAAAAAGAGACAAAATCACAAAATTTCCATGTAATTTAGATTGGACAAATTTTCAAAACCGACCCTTTTGGGTTTTTAATTGCAAAAAACGACCGGTTTTGAAAATATTTACAAAAACCGACCTGTTTTCAGCCAGGGGCTGAAAACAGGTCGGTTTTTGTAATTTTTTTTGGGAAACTTCACGGGAGTTGAACTCCCGTGAAGTTTTTCTCATAACAAAACTTCACGGGAGTTGAACTCCCGTGAAGTTTGGGAAATTTTTTTTTAAAAACCGACCCAGTTTCAACCAACTGGGTCGGTTTTTATAAATAAGATTGAAATGGGTCGTTTTTTGCAATTAAAATCCCAAAGTGGTCGGTTTTGAAAATTTGTCCAATTTAGATTTCTATGTCCAAGACTGTTGAAAACTCTAAAATTTCTGAAGGCCATTGACAAACTCTAAAGTTTGCAAATTTGCCGTACCTCGATTCAGTACGTTCTCTTCAACCTCGGAATTGATCGAGCCTAAAGAACCGCGAAAGGAGGTCGAAGCAAGTTCCGGTCTCTGTCGCCGGATCCGGATCTCTCTCTCTCTCTCTCTGGCACGCCAATCGGAGCTCCGCCATCTTCTCGTGGGTCGAATCCACCGTCGCCGCCCGCTCCATCTCCCAACGGCGACCGTTTTCAGATCATGTTATCGGGTACGGATTTGGGGAAAGATCGGGTTCGGGTTAGGGATTTGAGGAAATGGAGGGAAAATTCAGATTAGGGTTTTTGAATTTGATGTGGAAAAGATTTGGGCCTGTGTTAGCGGTCCGGCCTGCTATAAAAGGCCGAATTAATTTTCACAAACTATCGCGAGGCCCAATATCTTTATCCGTTATCTCCTGTTATTTTGTATGTTCTCAAAGATTTTGTTGTAAACTAGAACTAGTATTCATCCCCTGCTAAGCACGGCATCCTTATAGATTATTCTTGAATACAGAATGAAGAAAAGATAGTAAGTATCACGCATTGAATAGCCGTAGAAGGAAGCAACTTTGTCACGTGTCTAGAATTGAACACAGGATTGTGGAAGGTACATTAGAACCTCTCAACTATCCGGGTCTCCCGCGATGGTTACTTAATCCACAAATTAACTAGCACCAAAATCTTATCATTTCTATTTATATTTAGAATTATGTTACACATATATTATCGTATTATGCTCAAACTTGAAATAAAGCCAACTCATGCTGCGTTTTCACTAGGCAACCACCTTATACTTGCACAAATAATATTCAAAGCTAGTAATAAACATTTCTTTAAAAAAAATAATGCAATCAGACTCTCAATGTCCAAAATAATAATAATAATAATAATCTATACTACTATATAATAGAAATAGTGGGGGCAGGCCTAAAAAAATGGATGAGAGGTGGACATTTGCTCCATTCTAATTGTATTTGAAAGGATAGAATTGTAAATTTATAGGAGAACTTTTTCCCCTTCTTTTTTTTTTCTAGAACTTTCTAAAATGTTGACACATGAGCTTATTATTAAAGCTCACTAACATACCCGTTATATTGCATATTATAAGAGATATGAGTAAATGTGATAAAGTTCTTTTCCAAACAAAAGTGCACATAAATAAATACAATAAAAATAACAGTTCTATGCTCCAATGTCAATATTATCGAAAGTGTATATCTAGATATTTGAGCTAAAAATAAATAAAATGATAACTTGAACGGAAGATGAAAAACAGACTCTTCTCAATAACATTATTATCTAAGAAAATTACGTCATTGCCCGAATTGAAATATTTATCATAATCAATTCCAAATAAGATAAATAGAATATAGCTTCTTAAAGCGCTTGGAAAAATTGATGATCATTTAGGTCATTAAAGTGACGCGTTTTATATTTAAAAAAACTAGAATATTTAAGTTTTAATCTCTGTTGCAAGTCCATTTGCATGTACAACACAAGCAAATTCAACACCCTTAGGCCTTAGCAATCCCAACAGGGCAACTTAAAATGTTTTCTACGGCTTAGCATAGCATTGAAGGGCACGCAAAATTCCTTCAAGAGATTTAATAAATCCACAAATCCTTGGTACAACAATCAGAACTGATCATATCTGAACAGCTTTTTTGTATACAGTTTGTCAAAAAGAAAAGAATGATGCTGTACATTGTGATATCTTTCGGCCGTATTTTCATTGACTGGCCCTCACATTTTCCTCGGATTTTTTGGAGTGGCTCGTGAAACAAGGTAAATGCGACCGTACACCCAACGTCGCCCAGGTTTACAGACAGATCGCTGAGGGGGAAAAAGGAGGAAAGATTTATCAACTATACAAAGAGAAGCTATGAATTCATCATTCTTAGAAATATTGTTACGATAACAACAACAAGAGCCTGTCAGTGAGCATGTCTAGGCACCCACAAGCATTTCTTGTTTTGTTTTCCGTTGATATTTTGTTCGCTTAATGTTTATGGCATCAGTAAGCATATGGGAAATTAACATGTGCCCAGAAAAAAATCTTGTTCATGTGCTTATATGAATGAAAAGAGGGAGCAAATGCATACCTCTACTTTGGGGCGAAACACCAAGGAACTCTCACATACATGACACTCTGTGTCATGAGGATGCAAGTTTGATTTCTCTGCTTTGACAAATGCAAAGACCTGCAAGCATTCATCACTTTTAAAATAGATTCGGTAGATGATAATCCACCCAAAGCAATCTAACACACAACACACATGAAAATTGAGAATCTAAGGCTTAGGTTCTCAACCTCCTCGCCGCAATTTGGACATGAGCCTTTTAACGCAACCAAGTCATTCCTCCATAGGCCTGTCAGTGCTTCAACTGTAGAACACCAATAATACAACTAGTTATTCTGTGAAATTGAAAACATGAAGGAGGTCCGTTAATTTTATAAGTTCATTCCTTCAGTATTGTGTGTGAACTCATTTAACACTAACATAGTTCTTAGATTGAGAAGGGGAACAAGTTTACCCACAAACAAATTCCCTTGTACACTGTTTTTCTTTTTAATTCTTACATTCTTATTTCTTGGAGGGTGGGGTAGATTATAAAGGAACTCCTGTTTTCCTCGAAAAATATAACTCCTAATTATTCTCAGAGAAAAGACTTTGTCCTCCAGAAGCTTTTATATATCATGGCAGGCTCGACCATGATATTGATCGTTCAGAATGCTAACAATAAATATCAAACACATCAGACACAAGTTTTAAATCTATGTCATTTACGTTCCACAACAATATCATCAATTTACTTGGTTCTAACTAATCATAACCCTCATGCTCCTTATCGACATGAAAAGGTAAGGTGAATCATCATCACCCATACACATAATATCTTTTCACCATCTCCATCTATTGATTGAATATTCGATACCATATGGTTTTGGGACCGCAAATGTCTAAAGCCACAGTACGCATAGTATCATAAGTATTTTACTGTGTTGTGAAAAAAAAGAAAATAACAGAAGTTAACACCTTTTCTAGTCATTCATCTAATCACTTGAAGGAGCAGATCTGACGCAAGCATCTGGGAAAATAGGACATCATCTCAGGCCTTTCCCACCAAAAACGTATTGGCTAGGAGAACAACTCAAAGTCAATAAAGCTTACAAATAAATGACCAAGTTTTTATGACCAGCAGCTGCCAACTATCAATTGAGTTCGTCTCAAATTCTTTACTAAGGTAACTTGACCCCTCCCGTCATCATTCCACATTTTATCCTTCTAGCTTTGGAAAATTGTGGCAAGCACGAAACTCACTTTCATAAAAGTTTATAAACATTGAAGATAGAACTATATCTAAACAAGGAAATCTTGTCTTCTTTCACTAAAGGTGTTGGGTTAAGAAGCCTATGGGTGAAGATTTAGTGATTACAATCAAGAGCAACTGCCTTCAAGTACTCTAGACTTTGAAGCTGGGATTGCATACACAGGAGCAAATGCGAACCGAACTATCCAAGAGATCATCCACGATTAATGGAGGAGGGGATAATGAATAAACTGGAAATGCGGGAATTCCTCTTTGAGGTTAAAGGATCACAGATTGTTCCTCGACACCCTAATTAGACATTTCAAGCAAATCATCCAAAATTAGACGTAACGCACTCCGTAGCAATTTTTACATGCACTCCGAACTAAGAAAAATGACAAGCAGATTTTGCGATTAGAAGGGTATCTCTCACCAGAAGCAGATGCAACGGGATAACCAACCAAATAACCTAGTCCAATGAACAGAGCAACATTTAACATCATAAGCGCGTCAGATGGAGATTGATCGCTGCGAAAGAAATATCTCGAGTGGATAGCATCATCAAGAGCTTGGCCGATAGCGTAAATGATAGGAACAAGAATAGCAGCAGATCCAAAAACAAATAGTAAGATCCAAACGCTTGCTAATGCAATAACTTGTGAGCGGTCCTCCTGCCCTACACCCAAACCATGTCAAAGCCTCAAACAAGCGGATAGCAACAGTTTCTAGAACTAAAGAGATCGGCTGTAGCCACATTAATCATGTAAGCAAGAAAATTACCTCAGCATCTGCATATGTCGATTGACGTCTGAGACTACAGCGAGGATACTTTACAACAGATTTTGAACCGTAGAGTCGTAGTTTTAGCTGTTATGAATGAGTTTTTTTGAATTTTCCAGAATAACAGAGTATTGCTTATACGTCAAGCGAAGGCGAGGAATGCAACAAATTTACCTCAACTTTATCAAACATGTCATCAACAATTAATGGCTCGCCGTTATAATAGGAATATCGGGCCTGTAAAATCAAACCAAATTAGTGTTAGGATTGTGTCTTTGATTCTTTGTATAACTTTATGAGAATTAGATAGGGTTAGAGATCTATCGTGATTAGGAGATTGGGTCTCATCATGATTAGGAGTTTGAATCCTATTCTAATTAGGAAGTTAGGCTAGAGATAGAGTTTGGTTTCCCTATATATATTCTTCTATTGTTTAAGGAAAAACCAAGAAAAAACAGAGGAGAAAGAGCTAATATTCTTATAATCTAGGGTTAGCAGAGGGCGTAACCGGATTCAAGAATATTGTGCGAGAGGCGAGGGTTTCGTAGTCTTTGTCCGTGCAAAAGATTACATCATTGGGAGAGAGTTTCGCAATCTTTGTCCGTTCAAAAGATTGTAATTTGGAGGTGATAGTGGATTGATTTTAATCCTGTGGTTTTTCCTTGTTGAGGGTTTTCCACGTTAAATCCCGTGTGATTTTATTTACCGCGTTTGGTGATTTTTCGGGGTTTTTGCGAGATTTAAAAATCCTAGCAAGTGGTATCAGAGCAGGGTTCGACGATTCGTACAGGTTTGACCGGTGTGCGATTGGTGAAGGTGTCGGCAGTCGAAGTGTGGTGATCGACATCGGAGAAAAAAGTTAATGTAGCAAATACTGTAGCAACATCGGGATACTGTTCACACAAATCCGACGATTGAGATTGATTTGTCTTTTGATCGAGGATTTGTAGGCGGATTTGGGTGATCCAGGAGTCGTTCCTAGAATTTTTCGACGTGCTAAGATCGTTTTTGACGTTGGTTTTATCAAATTCAATCTCTACAGTGACTTATTTGAATTTTGATTGCGGTTATAGGATGATAACTTCTTCGGGTCCGAAATTTAATAGTCTGTTATTCAACTGCAAGACAAATTTGATGGAAGATAGGGCAAACGAGTATGCGACAGATGAGATTGGCGTAGAGAATCAAATGTGATTCTAGCAGTAAAGTTGTCAGCATATAATTATTCAGCGTCATAGCGGGAGGAGTAGTTGGTTGGTATGTAGACTCGACGAGGACAGTGCCAGATTAGGTGGAGTTTGCAAGCGAGCACGACTGAGTGACACACAGGGAGATAGAGATGGTGACACTGGACTTGAAGACAATGAACACTCATATTCGGTCCAAGCTAAGTGATAGAGGAGATGGAGGCATCTGGCTCGTAGTGTAGAGTAGGAGAGGTGCATCGATATGATTCAAGACGAGCAATGCAGATAGAGTACGAGACAACAAGTAGGGGAAGGCTACTGTCAAGTTCAGTTTGAGAGGAGAAGCATGATTGATTTGTTTCTAATGTTAGAGGTGACGAAGATCTTTTAGTGTACACAAGAGAGGTGGAGGCACCACGGTGAAGTAGATGATAGCGAGAGTTACGGGACGTCCTAGTTAGAGTGCAGATACTTCAATTTGTAGTGCGAAAGAAATAGAAGACTCTAACGGGAGAGACAAAGTTTCAAGACAAAGATGATATATCTTCAATGGAGTTTGGGAATCAAATCCAAGGTGAAGATTGTTAGGATTGTGTCTTTGTCTCTTTGATTTTTTGTATAACTTTATAAGAATTAGATAGGTTTAGAGATCTATCGTGATTAGAAGATTGAATGCCATCATGATTAGGAGTTTGAATCATATTCTAATTAGTAAGTTAGGCGAGAAATAGGGTTTGNAGTTCTCATTGATATATAATAGATTTCTAGTATTGTTGCACGTGGACGTAGGTCGAAGTTGGTTGATCGAACCACGTAAATCTCGGTGTTCTTTTTTTTATTGTGGTTGTTTCATATCTTGTTGATTGTGGGTTGGCTTCCGAGTTACGCGAATCGTATTATGCGGGGAGACTAAAATTCCCTAACAATTAGACCGACTAACAAATATAATCATGAAATTCAATCAATACCCATCACCGGAAAACAATCAATCAACGCAAATCCAATCTTGAACATAAGATAAACAAAATAAAAATAAATAAATAAATTACAAACCTGCTGG